TCTATTATTATAATATTCTTCTATGTTTATTATTATGTATAGTATTATTATTCTATTCTTATTATTATAATAAGTGGTAATCTTATGAGTATTGTTATTCGTATTACTCTTCTTATTATTCGTAGCATGATTATTATTATGAATCGTCTTCTTCCGATTATTATCATTAATATTAGTATCAATATGATTGTTACTATTGGTATTATTAGTATGGTTACTATTATTGGTATTAGTAATATTAATAGTGTTGGTATTAACATTCGTATTATTATTCGTCTTCTTCATATTATTACTAGTAATAATAGTATCATTACGCGTATTATTATTATTACTAATATTATTATTAGTAGTATTATTATTCCTCCTCCTCCTCCTCCTCCTCCTTCTCCTCCTCCTCCTCCTTGTGACGAGGAGCACTATTTTATTTCACGCGGACCACGGCGCCTCATCCTCTGAGGCGCGAGCTCGCGGCCCCGCAGCCTGTCTGCCCGGGCCGCCTGCCCCCCACGTGCTCTGGCGCCCCCCACCACACCCCGCGCGTCGCGAGCCACGGGCCCACCCCGAGGGCCCTGCCCGCACCGGGGGGGACTCTGGGGCTGACCTGAGATCGAGCATAGATTCGCCTCGCCCGCGCGCACGCCACGAAAGACACAGACCGAAATCGAAACCGACGTCCCGTTTGCGGGCCGCCGCTTCCCTTCGGTCTCACCCCGCTCCTCCCTCCTTCCCTCCTCTTTGTCCCTCCTCCCTCCACCTACTCCTCCTCCTCCACCTCCACCTCCTTCCCTTCCTCCCCCCTTCCCTCCCTCACCCCCTCCCTCACTCCCTCCCTCCCTCCCTTTCGGCCATGCAGGCACATAGAGCACACAAGCTACACAACACGCGCTCCATCCACAAATAGCGCCGCGTGCGCGCGGGGCAGACTACGCAGAGAGGGGCAAACCGAACGCAAGCCAGGGCGACACTGCGCGATGTTTCTTGGGAGCATTGGCGGATGATTGTGGGCGGGCTTAGAGCATGTTTGAGTGCTCCAGCCTGGGTGTGCAAAGGTCTCGTGGCCGTCTGGTGATGAAGGTATCGAAGGCCGTTTTGGTTTGGGCTCCTGGAGGCGTTTGGAATCCGCCTGGGGGCATCGCTGGGGCGTCTGGGCGTCGTGGGGCCATCTTGAGGGTTCCCGTAGGTCCTTCTTGGGGTCGACTTCAAGACCTCTTGGGCACCTCTTGGGGGCCCGGGGGCTACTATCGTAGGGCGGTCTTGTGAGCCTCCAGGGCCATCGTAGTATCCGCCGGTCTTCCGCAGGTTTCCGCCAGCGAAACCGCCGCACTTCTATTTCCGCAGGCCTCGGGCTGGCACTCCACTGGCTTTTCGCTGAACACGGAGACTCCCTGGAACGCGCGAATACATGCTGAAGTCGGGCTGCACTCTGGAAATTTACACTGTGCTGATCCCGTCTGGCCTCCTATGTCGCCTCCTGGCCCGAAGACCCATGAACCCAGATGTCCGACGATGTGTCTTTGTTTCGATCTGCGGACCCAGAGCTCCTGACCGTCTCCCCGGGGACAATTTTTCAGCCTGCATCCTTGCGTGCTTGGTGACGCTGGGGCCGACACCTCAGTAAAAACAGCAGGCTTGCCCAAAATCACGACACCAGAGGTCTGGGCCACCTCCTCCTCCTCCTCCTCCTCCTCCTCCTCCTCCTCCTCCTCCTCCTCCTCCTCCTCCTCCTCCTCCTCACTCCTCCTCCTCCTCCCTCCTCCTCCTCCTCCTCCTGGGCCAGACGACCCACAAAAAAAACGCGCCCGGGAAGGGGCCCGCGCCCTCTTGCCTTCGTGGGTCCCGCCGCGCAGCCTGCACGGCGCGACCCCGCGACGAGAGGCGGCCCGCGAGCGGCCGGCCCGCCCGTCACGAGCCGCAGTACTCGTCGAGGGGGGCGTGGCCGCGCCGCGCCTGCGCGGCATGAGGAGGAGGAGGAGGAGGAGGAAGAGGAGGAGGAGGAGGAGGAGGAGGAGGGGGAGGAGGAAGAGGAGGAGGAGGAGGAGGAGGGGGAGGAGGGGGAGGAGGAAGAGGAGGAAAGATCGAGACGAACTCGTCGTCAGGGCTGAGCGCTCGAACTCTCATGGCTTGCGCTCGGGATGTGGACGTGCGCGGGAGGCGGTGCGTGCCTGGCACGAGGATGCGGGCGACGAAACGGACCAAGTCTTCCGCGAGAGGCTACAGCGGCCTTACGCGGTGGCTCACGCGGGCCACCAGCGCGGCACGCTACATTGGAAACGGAAGCGCCCACGCGCGACCTTGCGCGGGCAGTTTACGCGCGCATGTCGGCGACGACGACGGCATTTTCTTCCGTCGCTCATGTCCGCTTGAAGGATGATGTGCGCATGAGTCCTCGGGCGATGGTATGTGCGCTCGGGAGGAGGTGTTTGCTCAGGAGGTGGTCCCCTCGGCCCCAGACCTCCAGAGCCGTGATCTGTTTAGTCCCGGCGCTTTTTCCCCAAGTAGGCTTGCCCAGGGGATTCTCACTTGGTTAGAGATTGGTGCCTCGGGTGGATTTTCGGCAACGCCAAGTGATGCCAAGCAATGCCAAGCGATGTCAAGCGATGCCAACCCATGCAAAGCAATGACAAGCAATGCAAAGCAATGCCAGGCGATGCCAGGCGATGCCACGCAATGCCAACCCGTGCAAAGCGATGCCACGCGATGCCAAGCAATGCCAAGCAATCGCAACCTTGCCAAGCAAAACCAAGCGATGCCAAGCAATTTCAAGCAATGCCAACCCATGCAAAGCAATGGCAAGCAATGAATGCCAAGCGATGCCAAGCAACGCCAAGTAACGCCAAGCAACGCCAAGCAATGGCAATACATGCCAAGCAATGCCAAACCATGCCAAGCAATGCCAAGCAATGCCAAGCGATGCCAATCAATGCCAAGCAATGCCAAGCAATGCCAAGCCATGCAAAGCAATGGCAACCCGTGCCAAGAAATGCCAAGCCATACCAAGCAAAACCAAGATAGGCCAAGCAAAGCCAAGCAGTGCCAGGCGATGCCAACCAATGCTAAGCAATGGCAAGCAATGCCAAGCGATGCCAAACAATGCCAAGCAATGCCAGACAATGCCAAGCGATGCCAGGCTATGACAGGCAACGCCAGGCAATGCCAAGCAATGCCAAGCAACGCCAAGCAAGGCCAAGCAATGCCAAGCAATGGCAACCCTTGCCAAGAAAAGCCAACCCATGCCAAGCAATTTCAAGCAATGGCAAACCATGCCAAGCAATGGCAAGCGATGCCAAGCAATGCCAAGCAATGCCAGACAATGCCAAGCGATGCCAAGCGATGCTAAGCGATGCCAAGCAATGCCAAGCAATGCCAAGCACTGCCAGACAATGCCAAGCGATGCCAAGCGATGCCAAGCGATGCCAAGCAATGCCAAGTAATGCCAAGCCATGCCAAGCAGTGGCAAGCAATGCCAAGCGATGCCAACCTATGCCAAGCAATGCCAAGCGATGCCAAGCATCGCCAAGCAATGCCAAGCGATGCCGCGCAACGCCAAGCAATGCCATGCCATGTCAAAAAAAGGCAATCCATGCCAATCAATGCCAACCCGTGCCAAGCAATTTCAAACAATGCCAAACCATGCCAAGTGATGCCACGCAAAGCCTAGCAATGCCAAGCAATGCTAACCCATGCCAAGCAGTGCCAAGTGATAAAACACCATGCGGGCCACACGCGCGCGCGCCGCAACGCGGGGGCGTTGAAGTCCGTCTAAACTAATGATTTTCGAAGCGCTTCAACCTTCAAAGATGTATGGATAGATGCTCGACGAGGAAGAAAACACCTGGGCTCTTCACCAGCAACGGCATCATGATATCGCGCCCGCCCGAGCCAACGAACCGCATTGGAAAGGCCCGCGCGCCAGCGCGGCCTTGGATCGGTTGTGCCGAAACCGGCTGGCCGCTCTGCGCGCAAGCTCGCGGGCGCCATTGCGACCGCAGAGATGCGCCAGCCACGGCCAAGCAGTCATCGAGATCGCAGCCGCAGGGGTTCTGCAAACCAAGTTGCGGATGGGTCGGTGTGGTGATTGCACGAGCTGGGGATTTGACAATCCATGAGTTGGCAAAACTAACTAAACCACATCGGTTACATCGCATAGCGTTTACTTCCAGCTCACACCGCATAGGTTACAGGATATAGCTTACGCTACATAGCCTGCACCGCATGAGTTTCAACTTCATGGCCCAAACATCACATAGCTTACACCACATATCTTGCACTGCACAGCTTTCACCTGCACGTTACAATAACTCACTGCTCGGGGTCCACGAAAGCGAACATTATCATGTGTAATTAATGCTAGTGTTTGTCCTCCTCTTTCGCCCCCTTCTTGGTGTCAGGATGCACGTTCGAAGACCCCCCCCCCCCTCAAAAAGAAGATGACATCATACGGGCCAGGACGGAGCGGGAGACGGCGGCAGCCCGGCAGGCAGTGGCAGCAGTGGCCGGTATGGAAGAATCAGTGTCCCCTGCTCCTCCTCCTCCTCCTCCCCCTCCTCCTCCTCATCATCATCATCCTCCTCCTCCCTCCTGCTTCTCCTCCTCATCATCATCCTGCTCCTGCTCCTGCTCCTCCTCCTCCTCCTCCTCCTCCTCCTCCTCCTCCCCTCCCTCCTCCTCCTCCTCCTCCTCCTGCTCCTCCTCCTCCTCTTCCTGCCCTCCTCCTCCTCCTCCTCCTCCTCCTCCTCCTCCTCCTCCTCCTCCTCCTCCTCCTCCTCCTCCTCCTATTCCTCCTGCTCCTCCTCTCCGTAGCCATTGTGGTAGCCATTGTGGCTCAAGTCCGGAGCAAAGCGGCTCAGGTTTGAGTGTGGCAAAGGGGAGGTGCGCCCCCACCTGCGATCCCTGAGGCCTTTAGCTCAGGATTTGTTGTGAGCTCCTGGAGGAGCATCAGTATCCAACCTCCTTGTGCCAACTGGCATGACTTTCTTTCGAGTGAGCTCCTGGAGGAGCCCATGGGCAGGCAAGATGCAAAGAAAATCGTCTCTTGCGTGTCGTGCAGGTATCGGTGGAATTGGAAGTCCAGGACCTTCTGCTTCAACTGCAACGCCACGATCGCTCCGATCGAGATGCCGTGGCGAGATGTGGCTCAAGGAGTGTGGGCCCAAGGAGGATGCGGCACTCAAGGGGCTCAGCGGCCGCCAGCGGTCCCGCCAGGCGAGTGGCAGTGGTCGCCCAAGCCGCAGTCCCTCTCGGGGCACCGCGGCTCCACGCCTCCGACGCGGGGGGCGCCTGCAGGGGAGGACGGCCTCGCGACGGTCGACCTCCTGGCGCAGCTCAAGCAGCGGCTCGCGGGCTCGGCGGCGGCGCAGGAGCTCCAGGCGCTGGAGAGCGCCATCGGGCCCCAGGCCCCGCCGAAGGAGGCCAAGCCTGCGCGCCCGCCGCTGCTCGAGGCCCAGGTGTCTGCCAAAGGAGTGGCTTGCCGCCGCGCCGAGGCGCACTTGGAGCAGTGCGTCGCCAAGGAGGACGACGCCAAGGCCTGGTACGAGGAGTGCCGAGAAGCGACAGCGCTTGCGGCCCAGTCGGCGGTGCAGGCCAACCTGGAGTGGCAGGCGGAGCTGGAGCTCGACAGAGCAGGGGGTGCTCGGCCCCCCAGCTCGGCGGCGGGCGCCTCGGCCGCGGCGCCGACTGGCGCCTCTCAGATTAACCTGTCGCACCTGCTGCACGCCGAACAGGACGGAGACACGTGGACATCATCGACGGGGACCTGCTCGACCTCTCGGACCTGCAGGTCGAGGACCAGGACAAGCAGCGCTGCCAGGAGCTCAAGTCCAACATGGGCAAGGAGATTCGCGCCGCCATCCTGGCGGCCATCGGGCCGAGTGCGGAGAAGATCCAGTCTCTGCGCCAGGAGGCCCGAGGGATGCGAGAGCGCCTGGCCGCCAAGAGGCCTCGCCGCGAGGAGTCTGCCTCGCCTGGTGGCTCGCCAGCCTCGCCTGCGGGAGGCGCGGGCGGCCCTGGGGCCACGGCTCCCTCGCAGCATGATGGCGCTGCTGCTCCTGCTGGGCAGCCTGCTGCCGACGGCCCTGGCGGGGGCAAGGCAGCTGCCGCCCCAGCCGCCGCCAGCGGAGCTGCCACTCCGGGCGCGGCCAGCGGAAGGGGGCCTCCCAGGCCCAAGTGCGGGAGGCGGCTTGCCCTCTCCAGAGCAGACAGAAGCCGCCGTCGCAGCCGCTCGTAACAGAGCGGCAAAGAAGTCTAGTTAGCCCGTCTTTCTGGATGGGGCTTCCACCGCCAGGCATTGCTGTGGCTCAGCCTGATCCTGATCGGCATCGTCGCGAGTTCGTGATTGTGCTGTCTGGCTGAAGTGCTCGGTGGATCTGGAACCTAGAAGGCCAGACTTATTTGGACATGTCGTCTTGGATGGGCTGGTGCGAGCCCTGGTTACGCGAAGTCCTCAGCCAGGCAGGCAACGCTCAGCTCCGTCGTGCCCTTCTGCTGAGGTGCGGCCCTGTGCGTCGAGACAGTCCTGGCGGATTTCTAGACGAGGCTGTTCGGGAAGCCCGTCTTTCGGCTTGGGCTCGAGGCAGAGGTCGACGCAACAGATTCATCGCCAGGATGAGGCCGCTGGCCCAGGCGGTCTGGCAGCCCTTTGCGGAGCACCACTGGGCCCAGCTGCAGGGCATCATTGATATGTTCCGAGCGCTGCTGGATCGCCGCAGGCGGTCTGACTTTTGTGGGCGCCCAGCCGTCCTTGGGGAGCCTAGAGGCCCAGGGCCTGGGAAAACCCTGAAGGGAGAGGGCAGCGGGCAAGCGAGGGAAGCCGCAGACATGCGGGTGGTCGAAGCCTCCCCCCGTGCCCAGCCTCCGCCTCGGGCAGCTCACGAGCGGGCTGCAGCCCCCAGGCCGAGCGACCCCTTCCCTGCTGGCCTGGCCTGGTGTGCGGCACGTTCCTGTTCGACCCCAACGTCGAGCGGTTGGCCGACCGATTCGGTCAGGAACGACGACGAGGGAGGGCGCCCACACGGCGGTGAGATCGAGGGTTTTGACGGCCAGGCTGAGATCCAGATTCCGACGTGCAACCCGAATGCCTGGCCTACTGGCCTCAAACGCTTGGAGTGGGTCAAGGAGGTTAAGGGCGCGGTGCACGACGCCGTCTTTTTTCAGGAACACCGACTGGAGCGACCTCAGTTGGCAGGGCCCAAGTCTTGGGCCTACAAGGCAGGCGATCAGTCGTCCTTTGCACCAGCGGCCAAGACGGGCACAGGCGACAGAGAGACATCAGGAGGCACCGCGGTTTTGCACAAGACGCATTTTGGCTCGGCGGAATATCTGCACACGAGGACCTCCCACAGGCTCGTGAGTCGGAAGCTTGCAGTATCCACGCGGAACCAGATCCTCCTTGTGTCTGTCTATGGGCACACCACCTTAGGTCTAGCAGGGGCCAATCTTGAATTTCTTGACCAAGTCAGCGAGGTCGCGACTGATGCTGGCATCCCTTTCGTCATTGCAGGTGTCTGGGGCATCGATGCCGAACAGCTCCGCCAGTCACGGTGGACAGGGCATCTACGAGCTAATTGCATCAGGCCTCGAGGCCCAACATATCATGACAGATGCTACGGTTTCTTTGTGGCCGGTTCCTGTCTGGACTACTACATGGGGCAGGCCCAGGCGAAAGAGGACACCCCTGTCGGCCCTCATCAGGCTGTAGAGGTAGTTCTCAAAGGCCTTGCAGGCTCAGCCAAGGTCTGGAAGAGGATCGTTCCTCGGCCTTTCCCGCTGCCGACGTCCAAGGAGGAGAAGGAGTCAATATTTTTGCGGGCCCCTGGGACGGGCCCGATTTCCATGGCCTTGACCCCCAGGATGCTGCTAAGCGTTGGTTCGGCGCGGCGGAGAGGGCCCTCGGTAAGGTCCACGGCACCCAGGACCGCAAGTTTTTTGGCCGCTCTCGGGGCTGCCAGCTGCAGCTAGTGTCACATCCAGGCAGCATGGGGTCAGGAGCTTCACTTGCGAGCTAACATCCAGCCGCGCAGGTGGCTCTCCCTCAGGCGCTTGGTCATGCAGATAATGAAAGGGCTAGATACCCAGATGCTCCTCGACCTAGCATCTCCTCTGCGCGACCTTTTTCCACCTGCGCAAGTGGAAGACTTGCGCCAGCTGTCGCTTGCCTCTCTCTTTGAAGGGCTGCAGCGGCCCGTATCTCGAGAGCGGCTTGCCGACCTGCTTCAGGGCGAAGTTTCCCGCAGGGTGAGGCAGGAGGTTGCTGGGGGTCGCCAGAAGTGGAAGTCTTGGGCTCAGTCGTCCGTCGCCGAGCGGGGGTCTCGGGCGGCTCACAAGCTCATCAAAGGCCCAGCTCCTCCGCCCCTGCCTGTTTCTGCAGATGCTGAAGATGTGGAGGAGGGGGGCCTGTCGGCCAGCCAGACCCCCTTGGTCGGGCAAGAGGCCCTCGACCAGACTCCCAAGCAGCGGCTCCCGATTTGGAGCAATCCAGCAAGGGAAGAGGAGGACCCGTTGAGTTGGCCTGTGCAGGGCGACCTCGCGGAGATCACTGTAGAGCAAGCCTTGCAAGCGGCGGCGTCCTCTTCACCATCCACCTGCTTAGGCTGGGACTCGTTCAGTCCACGTTTGCTCCTCCAGCTGCCCAGGCCTCTTGTCCAGTCTTTTGTTGACATCCTCAACGCTTGGGAGCGGCACCCCACGGTTGGCCCGATGCGGCCCGTCCCCATGCTTTTCCTGGACAAACCGTCAGGGGGAGTCCGCACAATAGGGTTGCTGCCCCTGTGGGCTCGGGTCTGGAGCAGAATCCGCCACAGGCTGTGCTCGATATGGGAGCGCGCGTTGGACGTTCGGCTTTTCTGGGGCATGAGCACGAGCACAGCCTGTGACAAGAGTGCCTGGGTGCACAACGCTCTGGCAGCGCATGCGCGGATGGCCCCAGGTCTTGAGACTTGCAGTCTTTTTCTGGACCCCCGCAATTTTTACGAACATATCTCTCACCAGGAGCTGCAAGCTGCAGCAGAACACGCAAATGTTCCCCTGCCATTGCTCCGTGCATACAATGCAGTGTATCGAGCGCCTCGCAGAGTGACTTGGCAGGGGTCGATCAGTCGCCCACTATTCTGTAACGGCACGGTGATAGCTGGCTGCTCTGAGGCCACCCCTTTGGCTCGACTCCTGTTGCTAGCCTGTCTGGGCCGAGCTGCCTATGCCAACCCCTCGGTCTGGCTGAAAAAGAAGGGCATGCCCATTGCTCTGAACAAGCTCGGCCTTCTGTCTTCCTCCGAGCCTCTGGCGGAGCAGGTTCTCGAGGATTGTAATTTGCCGCCAGAGGTACGGTGCCAGGTCCACCGAGACCTGGGAGGAGATGCGACCGACGGATCGAGAAGTCGGGTTTCCACCCACCAGGACCGGAGAAATTCCACAGACACTTCGCGTGCCCAGCCAGAGACGCGTGGCGTCACGAGAATCTCCCTGCTGAATTAAAAGCCCACGTTCGGCGTTTTTCTTGTTGTCCCGTGGACCTCCAGGAGCGTTTCGCCAGAGGCATCCTCCCTGCTCCCTGTCAGCTCTACTCGCGGAGACCTTGGGACCCGTCGTGGGAGTTCAGGGTTGAAAGGCAGGGTGCGCCGCTCATGCTCCAAGGGGGACACTTTTTTGCGACGACTCTGGCGTGGACGGCATTTTTCCCTCGCTTAGAGCTGCTGGCTGGGGGACAGCTGTCTACGGCCAAGAGCGTCGCTGGGTGGCAGGGTGGTTCGGTTCCGTCCCGCCCACGATGTGCCCAGATCAGGTAGCCAGAGATGGCGAAGACTATGCTGTTTTTGTTGCGGCTCGTTTCCTTGGCAGCACTTACACCCTTTATTCAGATTGCCAGGGCACGCTCCAGTATGTAGCAGATCGGAGGTTCGCGCGTCGTCCCAGTAATGTCAGGGCTCACCTGTGGAGCCAGACCTTTGCCCAGGGCTCGCTAGAACATGCTTCTGGGAAAAAAGTGATGGCCCACTCGTCGGAGGTTGATGTGCGTGAGGGGCGTATCTCGGCCTTTGAAAGAACGGGCAACTCAGAAGCGGACCGTTGGCCAAAGCTGGAACCACCCTCAGCAGGCATGACCCTGCAGGGGTGCTGGCAGCGAAGGGCATGCTCTTTTTAGCGCGCCAGCTTGCCAGGTATATCACGCGTGCAAAAGTTGTTTACTCAGAGGAGGGCAGGTACGACAACATCGGGGCCCAAGGGCTCACGTTGGTCTCTCTGGAGGGGGACCCTCAGATGGGGGGGGTTACTGTGGAGGTGGCTAGGGGGAGGAAGAGGCGGCTGCTGCTGCTGCTGCCCCCGCCCCGCCTCAACCCGAGAGCCCCTCCCAGGCCCCCCAAGAGTCCTTGGCGCCCGAATTGGCCCGCCTTGTTGCGGACGCAGCACAGGTTCCGTGGGCCGAGGGAGGCCACCACGTGCTGGAATTTTCAGTCCTCGGTGATAACCAGGTTCCGCTTTTGTTTTGCTCCACTTGTGGGGCGTATGCGACCATCTGCCCAGGGGCTCGAGGCCTCAAGGGGCACTGTCCGGGTTCCCAGGCTGCCCTTGTGGATCCAGGGCGCAATAATAAGCGTGCTTTTTTCCCAACCATCATGTGGTGTTGGGTCCTCGTTTTGAAGAGACGGTGCCCCGCGTCTCCTTCCCTCCTTCCTCCTCCCCCTCCTCCCTCCTCCCCCTCCTTGCCTCTGCTCTCGGCACACCTCTCACACGCTTCGTAGCCCCATAGGGAGCTCCACCAAAGGCCCCAGTGGGGGTGTCCACCTGCGGTTCCCCCACCCAGGGCAGCGTTTCGTAGCCCCATAGGGAGCTCCACCGAAG